ATTCCTCGGCTAGGACCCGATATATCCCGTCCAAAACTAGCTGGATTTTTTGATTCTCTCACTTCTTTTTACTTTACTTAACAATGCTTCCCTTCCTCTAATATACACAACAGTACATAACATCAAGCTCAGTCTTTTTCATGTACTTGGTCTGAAGTCTCCCTTTCCCCGCATCACTCTTCCTCCACATCTCTACCTCTTACCAACAACAACAACGAGCTCGTTCTACCCTGCTGAAGCCTTCGATTATTCTTTCCCCACCATTCCCATTATTCTATAAATCTGTCTGGTTATTCCCATGGCTTTCGCAACAACAACGACAACAATAGCAGCAGCAACGGCAACAGTACCATCTAATCTTATGATCAGTAAAGCCGTAACTAAGTATTTTTCATCTGTATTTAGCGTCAGATACTGCAGGCATTTCCTGTAGTCGTACACAGCAGTTCTCAATACTGAATTTTACCGACTTTTTCTTCTCTTTCATTTTTCTCTTTGCCTTCCTGTATATCAGGTTTTTTCTTTCGGTTATTTACGTAATCACTTACCAACGTTTAGTTATGACTTTCATCTTTCCACTAACTATATATCACCTATCTGCTTCCATCTTCTTAGCTAATGAATGTTTAAAATGTCTTAAATTCCTTCACTATTCATAAGAAACCAGCTTTTACGTAAACATACAGTTCTTGAATACGGCAGAACTGTTCAGTGGAAATCTTCTACTAGCATCACCTATCAATGCTACAGCTGCAATCATTATCTACTGTTTTCTAACTGCTCTTATTAGTGATGGAAAATTTTGTATTTTTTAGTTCATTTTCGCAAACCTGATTTGATAAGAATATTAATGATTTTTGACTTCCTTCCTCTGGAAAATTTCTCCTCTATATATCCACAAAAGAAAAAAAAAGTTATTTTAACATTTCTCTTGCTTTTTATCTATCTCTTTATAACCGCAAAAATTTATCTGTTACTGCGTCACTCTATAGAAATGGCGATAAAACCATCAAATTACTCATTGCTCTTGTTGCTTATCATATTTTTGGATTCATAGAACAAAGCAGTAACATGAGAAGCTAAGAGTTAGGTCTTTTTTTTGCAACTGTAATTCATCAAAACAATTCTAACTTTCAAAGTTGGCTAAAATAGGAAAATTTTCTCATTTATTTAAATTTATAATTTTGGAAAAATATTTAGTAAGAAGAAGAATTAGATTGAAAGGTGAATGAAGGAAAACCTTGAAATTTTGTTGCAGTAGAATTTGTTAATGGCAATGGATAAACTGTCTTTTGAATGTTTGCTAAATGCTTTATCAGTAAACCACTACTGTTTTGTAAGAAATATCTTCAGGTAGATAATGTAGAAAATAATATACGGGATAGACTGTATTTGTGTACACATTAAAGATAGATTTTCAGAAATTCATTAATTTGGTTTAGTCTTATAATCATTTAAAACAATCGGCTAATTCAACCTAATGAATACCGTAGACATTGAAAACAACTATTTGTCGGAAATTCTATGTTTGCTTTAAGTGTAATCTTACAAACAACTTTATGCTGAA